TGGCGAGGGCCGCCGGGGGCGAGGGGTGCGGCTCCTGTGGAGGCCTCCCCCCTCGGCGTGCAGACGGCCACCTCCCCCCGCGTCCTCACGTGGCCTGTCCTCCGTGCGCGTCTGTGTCCCGGCCTCCCCTTCTTAGGAGGCGCGGGGATCAGGGCCCACCTGTCTGGGCTCGCCGCAGCCGAAGCCCCTCCCTCTCCGGGGCCCGTGTCCGACAGCCGTCCCCTTCGAGGGACCGGGCCGAGGACCCCCACGTGGGGATTTCGGGGACATCAGTCAGCCTGTCCACGTGGTCTCACCGACGCCGACGAAGCTGACACCACAGGACTGGAGGACACGGGACCGGCGCCGACAGTGACGGCCCCGCCGGCCCACCAAAGTGCCCGGGAGCCTCCCACTCAGCACTCAGCTGTGGCTTCTGAACAGGACGGTCGAGCAGAAGCCCCAGGGAGGACCCCTGGGGCCGCCCCGCGGGAGAGGGCCCCGCTAGGAAGCTCCTGGCACCTGCCCACCGGCTCTACAGAGTGTCTGGGGGGGAGGGGGCGGCAGACTGTGAGCACGTGTCTGCCAGCCCCCGCCGCGGGCTGAAACCGCTCCTGACCCTCGTGTGGCTCTCACTCCCAGCCTCCCCACCCTCGTCGCCGTGTGGGAAGGGCGCCGACACTGCAGTCCCCGAGCCCCCTGTCCCGTCCATCGTGAAGAAGAATGCTCGAGGCGGCCCCTGGGCTGGGTGCGGCCGGAGCCACGGGCAGGTGCCGGGCAAGGGGCTCCGAAGACGCCGCCGCGGAAGGAGGCCGTCGGAACACCGAGACTCCGACCTCGGGAAAACGATACATTTATCTCCATTCGCTGGAAGGTAACGCAGTCTTACTCACATTAACAATTTTAGTTCCAGAAATTGTACCAGCCTTCCAAAGAAAGAGTCCTTGACCCAAAATACCAGAGGACATTAAACTGAGAAATGATCTACTGATGCAAATCATTAAATCCATTTGCATTTGCCTACTGAAGCCCATCACGGAAATTAAGTGCGTGCGGGGCGGGGGGGCGGGGAGGGGGCGCCGCCGTGCTCAGGAAGGAGGAAGCACGTCCGTGGGTCCCAGCGCTGTGTCATTAATTTCCCCACTTTCCCTCATTAACAAGTAAAATGTTTTCACTGCTTGAAAAGTTTTAATAAATAGAGAAAAGCTGAGCAGCTGACATAGTTTTTAATGCACTATACAAGGGCTTTCAACATTCGCACGCACGTTAATGAAACAGCCAGAAGGAAATGATAAAAGGCTCTGTCCCCACGGCAGACGGGGGCTCACCCGGGACCCGAGGGTGTGTCACCTCGGCCCGTGGACTTGGGTGCCTGCACCGCAGTCTTCCGTGGGGGTCCCCAGAGAGCCCCCCGCCTTCGTCCAGGGGCCCCGAACGCCAGGAGTGGCTGCCCACAAGGCGGCCTGTACGCAGAGGGGCATCGGGGCAGCGGGTCCCCAGGGGACCAGCAGGAGCGTTCAGAGCGCAGAACCTCCCCCGCCCCCGCCCCTGGAGGCGAGACCCCTTCCCGGACGCAGGCCCAGGGACAGCTGCGTGGCACGCTCTGCACAGCGAGGTCACCGCACACTCGTGGGAACGAGCAGCCGCCCGCTCTGGCCAGAGGGGCACCCGGCACCGGTCCTTGCAGTCCGTGCAGGTCAGCAGCAGGCGTGAGAAGGCACGGGCCCGTCTTCCCTTGTCCTCGAACCCGGCACCGCTGTGCCGTGCAGACACCACTGGGACACGACGTGCCTGCGGCCGCCCCCTCACAAGCATCACCTGGACAGTCATAGGGCCAGCGCCTGCCCTGGCCCAAGAAGGCCCCCTGAGGCCCCCCTGCCGTCCGAGGCCCCACGGCCCTGCTGACACGCGAGGGGGCCTGGAGCCCAGGCGCTCCCCTCGGCTCGGGGGACCGGCCACGCCGGGCGTCAGAGGCGCTGACAACCGTTCAACACAGAGGATGAACCTGACGCCACTGAGCTGTCCCCTTCAAGGTGGTGAAATGGCAAATGTCACCGGTCACGCACCACAAGGGCAAGGGAGCGGGTGGGCAGGGGGCATCGATGCTGCAGACGCACGTGGCGACTACTCCAGCCTCTGCGGCCCCCTGTCCCCTGGGAAGGTGCCCCCCCTTAGAGTGCCCCCCCACCCCAGCTGCTGAGATCCCCACCGCGGGCCCGGCCCTGCCCACGCCCTGCCCGGGTGATGACAACGTCTCTCTAGCGGACACCGCTCTGTGCCTCTGTATCGGGCCAAGAAACTGAAAATGGGTTTTTCAAAGAGAACGGCATACATGTTTTAGGTCTGTCGGTTCGGACTAGCCCGTGACGCCTTCAGCGGGGGTGGGGGGGGGATGGGGGACGCCCGTGCGGCAGAGCCCTCCTGCGGCCTCTCACGGCGGCCGTGCGTCTCTCCGAGGCAACGCCGAAGCCATGCTTGGACAAAAGAGTTTATCATCCGCGGACTGCTTCACCACCAGCACAACTATCCAAGTTTGCAAACAGATCACGTTTCATGCGGGCAAGCTGATTTCCTGAGACACGATGTGTCAGAAAGCAAAAGAAAAAAAATACCTTAATGTGTCCTATGCTAAAGAAATGTTAAGGATTTTGGAATAACGGATGCAGATGGGGACCCTCCTTAGCGAAATTTTACGGCGGAGAGTTTAAATTCAGGGCGTCCATAAATCGTGCACATGCTGTCGGTCCTCAGATGTTAGGGCTACAGATGCAACTCGAAAGTTGTTTGTCAGCTCCCGAAGGTGAATAATCCGGTGCCTGCACCCCCACTTTCTGAGGGCAGGAGGGGGGCTGACGCCACTCTCCCCGTCTAGCCCCCAACACCCCCAACCCCAACCCCACTCCAAAGCCCACGGCCGCCCGGAGCCACCCGGGAGACCCAGGCCGGGGGCAGGACCCCCAGCAACCCAGGGCTGTCAGCACCGCTGGCGGCCAGAGAGGTGTCAGTCTCAAAATATTATTTCCAATAAAAGTTCTGTTTACCCAGAGAAGATTTAAACACGCCAGAAACTTTGAGGGAAATAAGCGGCCCCGTTCCTTTTAATAAAAGCAGCGCTCGGTCTTACAATAACTCTTCTGACGGAGCCCCGGACCGGACAAGTACGGATCCCACGCTGGGTGTTGTTTTGAGATGACTTTAAGAAAAGAAAAACCGCTCTTTTTGGGAGAAGCCGGCCAGGGACGGCGCAGCGGCGGCCGGCCTTCTGGAAGGCCCAGGAAGAGCAGCTTCGAAAGTGTGACGGGGGCTCCATCGGGGGCGGTCACCGCGAGAAGACCCCCCCCCCAACACGCCACGCGCGTCGTCCTGCCAGTGGGCACCATGGGCCCATGCCGTCGCCTGTCTCGGCCGTCCCCACGGCCTCCATGTGGAGGGGCTACAGGACGCTCCGGGTCACCGTCCCTCGTCTGGCCCCGATCGCCAGGGCTCGCTCTCAGGTGGGGGCTGTACCCCACCGCCGCCGCCGTGTCCCCAGGGCACATCCCCGAGGCACAGCTGTCACACGGCAGGCACAGACTGCTACTCGGAGCACACACACACACACACACACACACACACACACACACGCACCCCGGCTGGTGCCGCTCAGTGCACTGAGCGCCGGCCTGTGACCCGGAAGGTCACAGGTTCGATTCCCAGTCAGGGCACAGGCCTGGGGTGTGGGCCAGGTCCCCAGTTGGTGGCGTGTGAGAGGCAACCACACACGGACGTTTTTCTCCCTCTCTAAAAAAAGTCAATAAATAAAATAAAAAAAAAAGAATGAGCGAACAAACATGTGACCCATGATCCTAACTTTAATCCATGTTTTTAACCCAAAAAGACTCGTCTCCCTCCCTGGAGGCGGCGACTGGAAACAGTTCTGGTGAACCCGACAGAGCGCAGCGCCTCAGAGGGCGGCCGTGTTTCACGGGGTTAACCTCGAACGCCCAGGAATTCCGAGCGGGCCAGCGTGCCAAGTGCGAGCCGGCCTGCGGCTACCGGCGGCGGGTTCGAGTCACAGGAAACGCGGCCAGCACGCCGAGCCCATCTGCAGGTGCACAGCCTGAGGGGCGTTCACACTCTGAAGACAAAAAACCGGGAATCGCTCTCCAGTCGCAGACAGTTCCAGCACCAGAAAATGCGAACGCTCTACCACGAGCAATAGAAACTCTGGGAATCAAGATCCCACGGCGAAACGAGCAGCCCCGACCGCAGGCCGCGGAGAAGGCGGCAGCGGGGCCGCGTCCCCCGGCGCAGGGCGTGGGGCCCGGAGGTGGCTGGGCTGCAGGCCCGCCCTCCTGGTGCGGCTCGGCTGTCCCCGGACACGGGCACGCCGCCCCCTGACGAGCTCTGGGTGCCATCACGTCCACACGCCGTCAGGGGACAGGTGATAAGGAAGGACACCCGTGTCCTGCTTTCTCTGGAACCGTGGGTTTCGAGCACGAGTTTCCGGGGAGGATGTGAACTGGGGGGCACGCAGCTCGAGAGGCCCCAGCACCGTGGGACTCTGGCTCCCGCGGTCAGACCCTGGGCAGCACCGCCCCCCTCCCGGGCCGCCCTCTGCCCGCTGCCCGCTGTTCAGAGTTGGGGAATGACCGGGGAGAGAGGGGCCAGGCCTGCAGTGGGATTTCCGGCGCTGAATTTAAGCACACAGAGGGGGCAGCCCCTCGCCCCCGAGTCTCCCTCCCAAGACCCTATCACCAGCCCCTCCTCGCCCCACCTCCACCTCTGCCCACCAAGTGGCGGCCGCACGACCTCACAGAGCCGAGGTGAGAGCGAGGCCACGCAACGCCTCTCAGGAGCCCGCAGACCGAGGGCAGGTGCCCGCGCTGAATCACGGGGGGCGGTGCGGGGGGGGCGTGCGGACGAGGAGCGCAGCAGGTGCCAGCGATGACGGACACGCACTGGGGGAGGCGCTGCCCCGCGGCCAGGGCACGGCACGCGGGCCCCGGCCCCCGGGGCGGGCGTCGCCCGGAGTCACTCACCTGGCGCTGGGCGTCTCCCCGCCGAGCAGCCGGATGCTGTGCAGACCCCGCTCACACGCGGACACCTCGATCGGCCCCAGGGGGCTGGCCACCGTCCTGCGCCGCAGGTCACAGGCCGCGTCCATCCTGCCACGCACCTGGAGGGACAGTTCTGGGAGTGAGAAAGCGGGCGGGGAGGAGCTGGGTCAGTTCTGAACACAACGGACACCCCGGTTACTTAAGGCGGGAAACATGTTCCAAAGTCTCCCCCGTTTTGGGACTGGCTCACGTAACGTGTCACTCGTACAACACGGTGACGTTGAGGACAGTCACTGTCACTGCCCAGAGCAGGGACCAGGAGCAGTGGGCGTCTCCTCCCCCTCCCCGAGGGACACGTCCCCTGCCATCTGGGCGTCACCCCCGAGTGACAAGGTCACTCCGTGTTCAAGGTCACCTGAAACACAGCCTGCTCGAGAAAAGCCCCTGACACCACGCTCCCCTCCCTTCCGTGAACCAACGTTCCGGAACAGTCGCCACACGGGGTCTCGGGAACAAGACCTGAGGACGGGACGGGGGACCTGGCGGAGGCACATCCAGCGACGAAGTCTCACCCAGGCGAGGGCACGGGCCCCGCGGCACCTGTGTCGGGAGGCGGCGGGGAAGCACACGCTGCCGAAGGGAAGCGCACGCTCTGGAAGGCTCCGGAACCCACGCACGTTCACACGAACGCACTCGCGCATCAAGACACTGCCCCCCCCCGCCCCCCCGCCCCGGCGCACCCTCCACGCTGGCTTTGACAGGCGTTCGTTAACCTCGGCCGCCATAACAGAGGCTCGAACGGAGGCCCGGACTCACTGAAAGCAGGGGACGCCGGGGAGGGGTTCGAGCCGGTTCCCGCTTCATGGAACCCACGCTCACTCCGGGGGGGCGACAAGTCGGTCGTAGCTCACGAGACGAGAAGGTTGTGCAGTGACGGACCCGCCCAGCCGCGCCCGCCCCCTGCTCTGCCGCCGTCTGGGCCCCCTCCCTTCCTGTCTAGTCCGAGTTTCCCAGAGTTCCACCTCCCACCCACCCAGTCACACCGGATAAGCCGACTCAGCTGCCCGCCCGCCCGCCCACCCATTGGGACCCTGCGCACCCCACCAGGTGCTGCCAGCACCTCCTGGGCTCCATCTCTGCTTCTCTGTCCTGGAGACACCTCCAACCAATCGTCCGAAACTGTCCCCCTGCACACTCCTCCCCAGCCCAGACGGAGCGAGTCAGTGAGGGCCCTCGCGCCCGTCCACCCCGACGCACCTGAAACAGGCGGACGCCAGCACGCCGCCCCGGACCAGCCTCGCCTGCCCCGCACACCTGCCTCTCGGGCAGCCCCGGACTCCACCGCTGCCGCCCCCTCCCGCGGGCACGCCGCCGTCCACGAGGCGCCTCAGCTCTCGCCCACACGAGGAAGGACACCTGGGGCCTCCTCACGCCTGGGCTCCCCCACCCCCTGCCCATCCGAGAACGTGCCGGCTGCCAACTGCTTCAGGGCCCGCGGCCGGCAGTGAGCCGCAGCCCTCGTGCCCCCTGGTTCAGTGAGGCTCTGTGCGGGTAAATCGTCCCTGACCCACGGGGTCAGCCCGGGACCAGCCCGAACACAGGTGAGGCCGGGCACCTGGGACGGCCTCAGCCTCTGATCTCGTCACCCGGGGGGTCTCCTCGCCTCTGCAGAGCCTTGCCCAACAGTGTCAGCACACCATCAGCTGACTTCTCCGAAGAGACTTTGCGGGCAAGAGGGGGCTGGAAAGAAGTATTCCAGGTCATGAAAGCCAAGGACCTACATCCCAGATTGCTCTATCCAGCAAAGCTTTCATTTAGAATGGAAGGGCAGATAAAGTGCTTCTCAGATAAGGTCAAGTTAAAGAGGTTCATCATTACCCAGCCCTTATTGAATGAAATGTTAAAGGGACTTGTCTAAGAAAAAGAAGATCAAAAATACAAACAGTAAAATGACAAACTCACAACTATCAATGATCAAACCTAAAAAACACAAAAACAAAAACAAACTAAGCCAACAACTAGAACAGGGACAGAACCACAGAAATGGAGATCACACGGAGGGTTATCAGTGGGGAGGGGAGAATGGGGGAACAGGTGCAGGGAATAAGAAACATAGTTGGGAGGCACGGAATAGGTAGGAGTACGGTAAGAACAGTGTGTGAAGTGGAGAAGCCGAGAACTTGGGTGTACGACCCACGGACGTGAACTAAGGTGGGGAATGACAGTGGGGGGAGGGGGTACAGGGCGGAGAGAAATAAAGGGAAGAAAAAAATGGGACAACTGTAACAGCATAATTAATAAAATACATTTTTAAAGACTTAAAAAATGACCATTCTTCAAAAGCAGATGGCTGCCCCTTCTCCCAGCTCCCCGGGGGCCTCTCCTCATTGGTGGAGCCGGAGCCAACAGCTGCCCCCCCCGCCCTCCCCCCCGCCCCGCACATCTGGGCACATCGTCCTGCGCCGCAGCGAGTCGGCGTCCCTCTGAAGTCAGAGGCGTCACACGCACACACACGCACGCACGCACACGCACGCACGCACACGCGCGGGCCCGGCTGTGTGTCCCCACCCAGGGCGAGGGCCCAGCTCTCCCTTCTCCAGACTGCGCCCCAGGGGGGTGGGCACAGGACGGTTCTGGGGCCCGGGGGGCGGACTGGACACGTCACCCCCACCCCCACCCCCACCCCCGGGAACACGCAGCCCGCGTGCCAGCGTGTGAAGGCTCGGGGCGGTCTCGCGGCAACGCCAGCCTGTGTGTGTTTGCACAGCTTCGCAAAACCGCCCCCACGACTGGCGCCTCCCGCCGGGTCCCTGCTCGGAAGCACTGGCTCCCGACGGGCCCCGGGCTGCCGCTCAGCAGACCCCGGCTCAGGAGACCTGGCTCGGGCCCCAGGTCAGGGCCTGACCCAAGCCCCAAGCCCGCTGTGGGTGGGGCTCCAAAGCGCAGGCCTCAGAAGCCGGGACCAGCTAATTTAGGCACAAAAGCAATTTACTGATGGGCTGTCCCATAACTCTCGGAACTTCTGGGAAGGCCGGGGAAGCCGGCTGAGAAAACGGCAGGAACCGAGGCTGGCCACGGTCCAAGGGCGGCCGAAACCCGGCCTCAGGAAACACCTGTGGGGGTGGCCGGGACCGCGGGCACGCAGCTGCCGCTGTTGCCACCGTCGCCCCGGGAGACAGGATGCTGCCACCGCTGCCGCCAGTGCCCTGCCCACCCCTTGCCTCTGGTTGGAGGCCCGGACGGGGGCCCAGAGCCCGCCTGAGGAGGAGGCTCCCGCAGCCCCGTTCCCGCACCTCGGCCAACAGCCCCGCCCGACAGACCCGCTCACACTGTGCGAAGCCTCCGGGAGACCCGGACCTGCAGCCCTGGCCGCTGGCCGGGCCTTCTCAGGGCTCCACGGGCCCCGAGGGTCAGCCGCAGGCTCCCCACCCCCCACTCCCCCGACTCTCAGGGGCACGAACCCCGCCACCCACAGCCCGGCCGTGCAGAGCCGCCGGGCCAGCTCCTGCTCCGTGGGACGGCAGCCACCCTAAGCCACACGCGTGCTGACAGTAATTGGTGGCAGAAAAAAATGGATTTTTCATGCCTGTTTGGAGACCTCTGAAAAAATGAAGTGAGCTTCGTTTCATCTCCCTTTTAACACGAACGGCGTTTAATGTTCACATTACGCAGCTGGCGCCGGAGGCCGGGCTCCCGCTGGATGAAACGCAGGAAACCCAGCGCCACACTCGTCCTCCTCCTCCTCCTCCCCCTCCCTCCCCCGGCAGCTCCTGGGCACGCACGCCTGTCCAGAAACCGCCCTTCCAGAACCCTCCGCGCGGTTCCGCGCCTCTCCCTTTTAACCGCCTCCAGCCTCGGGGCCCTGCGCCAGAGAGCGCGGGAGGGGCGAGAGGGGAGACAGGGCCGGCCTTCTCGGGGCGCTCCTCAAACGAGGCACCCGGCCGCCCGCTGACAGGGCCGACTACTGTGGGGCCCCAGCCACGTGGTGCTCCAGAACAGGCCAGTCTCGGGGCCCAGCGGCGGGATCAGGGTTGCCAGGGTCTGGGGGGGGGCGGGCGGTGCGGTGGGTTGAATGGGGAGCGCGGGGGAATCCCTGGGGCAGCAAAGCCTCCCTGGGAGGCGTCCCGGGGAGGGTGCAGCCATCGCACATCCACCCAAACACTCAGGACACCCACAGTGAGTCCTGACGTGAACTGCGCACAACGTCCCTGCGGGGAGGGCGGGTGATGGGGGGGCGGCCGCAGGGGGGCCCGGGGGGGGGCTGGGAGCCGTGTCACTCCTGCTCAGTTTTGTTACGAACCCAAAGCTGCTCTACAAAAGTTTCGTGGGGGTGAAAGAGGGGGTTCCAGATAGGCCCCCACCTGCTGGGCTCCCAGACCCCAGGGGCGGAGAATCCTGCCCGCCACCCGCCCCCCGGCGGCCCCTGCTCTGGGAGGGGCTGTGGGGGGCGGGGGCAACAGCGCAGCTCCAAGGCGTGCCGCTCGGTCCATCAGTCCGTCGCAGAGCAGCCCCACAGGGGAGGGAGCCAGGCCACAAACACGAGTGAACCCCGCACCTCCTGGAGGGGCTTGCGTTTCGGGGGGCAGAACCAGGCACGCGCAGGGGCAGACAGCTGAGGGGACCTGGGATGTAGCAGAGATGCCTCCGTTCAGCAGGACACGCTCCGCTGCCGGCTTCTGCCCCTGCAGACGCCGGGGACTGAGTCCACAGCACCTGGTGGCTGCGCCCGGGCAGGGCCCCCACGCCCGCCGACCGGACGGCACGCACAGTGATCCCCAGGTGCCCCGGCCCTGTGCTGGCGGGTCCTGCTCCCCACCATCGACGGGCGAGCCCTGCAGACCCGCAACCCCAGGCCCACCCCCTTGTCTCTGCCACCACCGCCTTCAGCAGCACGCGGGCGCTAACGCTCCCGGAGTCTCTGATGCACGGGCCGGGGAGGGCCGGCTGCTCCCCGCCCAGCCCCGGGGCCCGGCACGGCTCAGACCCAGAAGGAAGCCCCCCCACCCGCCCCGGGTCCCCGGGCGTGAATGAGTGTCTCGACGTTTCCCCACGGGGGCTTCTCCGTGAGACGTGCGGCGTGATTTACGGCAGGGTGCCCCCGAGTTCCGGACACGCTCCG